TCTTAATGTTATAAAGTCTGTATTCTTTGTTGTGTCTGGCCACTGAAGTCTCTGCCTAGTTAGCTTAATGACTGAACAGATATTTCTTTAAATGCCTGAAACTTCAAGGGCTATGTGAGCATGTTGGGGGCCTACCTTTAACATTCAGATAAGCAGTTAACAACTGCCTTAAATTGTCACTTCCTGCTTACACAGAGGCACATGACCAGCTAGAGGTGAGAGTTTTAAGGCCTTTTCTGGTCTTTTCTGAGCATGTGCACAGCCCTGAACATGTGTGTGGCCTTCTGGTTCCAAGGAATACACTGAAGGTTTTCAAAGGCCTTATTAAGAATTCATTCCTCCAATTTTCCTTTTAAGTTTTTTGATCAGTCTACTATTCCCTAGTGCTTTCAGGGCATTTCCCTAGAGAAGCTCCGTAAGCATTAAAATTTTAAGGTTACTGAGCATACTGTTAAACATAATGCTGCATTTAACTGCACTCACATTAGAGTGAGCTACTGCCCTGAGACTTTCAGTTTTAAAATCAAGGGTTTAAAACCAAAGGGTTTCCAGACCTGGGGCATTCAGTTCTCAAACCATGAATGTTCTGGATGAACTAGGTTGAGTTGGTTGGTTCACACACTTTAGCAGTGTGTCAGTAACCTATATAAAATGGTTCCAAATGGACAATTTAAAAATGTCTATCACTGAACTCTAGGCTAAATGGAAATTTATTTTGACACAAAGTATGAAGTGAGGCTCTAAGCTAATTTTATTTGCCTAAATAACTAGGTAATTTGTTCAACAATATTTATCTTTTAAGTCCATTCCTTGCCACTAACTTTTCCTTATCATACTATAATTTACTTTAAGAATTACAGTGTGTTTTACAAACAATAAAATGTGGAAATTTGAACAGCTCAGCTGAAAGGATTTTGCTAATTGTATAAGTCGTGAAACCATTACCCCAAACAAGACATGTATCTTTTCCATTGATGTTCAACTGTGCAACTTTATAGTCAGTCCCAATCACTGGCAACTACTTTCTGACTTATAGCACCACAAATTAGTACCTGCTCATGATTATCATGTAACTGGAATTAAATAGTATGTATTTTTGTTTATCTGTTTTGCTCAACACACTTGTTTTGTATTTTAGTAGTTGTTCACTTTTATTGCTGAGTAGTAGTATATTGTGTAAACATGCCACAATCTATTTAGAAATTTTCCTGTTGATGGAAACTTGGGTTATTTCAAGATCTAGATTATTATGAATAAAGCTGTTAAGAATGTTTTTGTCAAAGTGTTTTTGTCAATGTACGCTTTCATTTGTCCTGGGTAAAACTGTGGTGATAAGGTTAGTTGTATGTTTAACTTCTTAAAAACCTTCCTAAAAGGTCTTGTAGTGATATACCATTTTATATGTCCACAAGTAATGAATGAGGGCTGCAGTTGCTCCACATCCTCATCAATGAATGTTGTTATTTTTTCTTTTGTCATTCAACTAAGTGGGATATAGTATTTCATTATGACTTTAAGAATACCTATTTTTACCTAGGCATAATTAATCGTTTTTCACGTATAGTTAAGTTTTGGTAAATGTGAATTTCATGCAGCCACCCACAATCAAGGTATGGAACAATTACATCACTCTCATCCAAATCCCTACAAATCTCTTTATTCACTGTGGTTTTTACACTTCTCTGATGCCTAAGTTAAGCACCTTTTCACGTGGTTATTGGCCACTCACATACCTTTTTTGATGTGTCTGCTCAAGTCTTTTGTGCATTTTTAATTGGGTCACTCATTTTTTTTATGGTTGATTTATAGGAGATATTTATATATTCTAGATACAAGTAGCATGTCATATATGTGCTGAGAATATTTTTTAACCACTGTGCAGCCTATCTATTTGTTTTTTTTCTTTCTTTCTTTCTTTCTTTCTTTTTTTTTTTTAAAGACACGGTCTTGCTCTGTTGCCCAGGCTGGAGTGCAGTGGTGGGATCAAAGCTCACTGTAGCTTCAAACACTTAAGCTGAAGTAATCCTCCTGCCTTAGCCTCCCAAGTAGCTGAGACTACAAGTACCCACCACTATGCCTGGCTAATTAAAAAAAAAAAAAATTTTTTTTTTTTTTTTTTTTTTTTTTTTAAGATGAGGTCTTGCTATTTCGATCAGGCTGCTTTCAAACACCTGGCCTCAAGAGATCCTTCTGCCTCAGCCTCCTAAGTCACTGGGATTATAAGCAAGAGTCACCTCATCCAAAGTATTTGGTTTCTTAATGGCATCTTTTTTATGGTTAGTGTTTTATGCATTTTGTCCAAGGAACTGTTGGCTACTCTAGGTGTACAAACATAGTCTCTGACATTTTCTTCTAGGAAGATTATGGTTCTGAATTTTAAACTTAGATCTATAATCCATCTAGAATTAAATTTTATGTCTGGAGCAAGACTGCTTTAGGTTTATAATTTTGTATACAGATATCTAGTTATTACAGCACCAATTGTTAAAAAGACTTTCCCTTCTCTATCGAACTGACTTGTAGTCCTCTGGTACTATTTAAGAAATGTGTCTAATCCATGTTCACTAAGTTTTCCTTGTATGTTTTCTTTTAGAATTTTAGTTCTATGGTCCATTTCAAGTTAATTTTTCTGTATGAAATGAAATAAGAAATGAGACTCTTCTTCTTTTCCTTATGTCTACTGGTTCTATTAATGAAAGAAGAGGGCATTTAAATCTCCAAATGTGACTGCAGATTTGTCCATTTTCTTCCTTGTTCTGACAATTTACGCTTCATGTATTTTGAAAGTATTATAGGTATGTCTTCTTGATGAAATGATACTTTCATCATTCTTGCTGCTTTTATAATTATGAAATTCATGTGCAATAACATTATTTGTCTTAAATTCTATTTTGTCTCATATTAAGACAGAAGCTTTAGTATGCTATTTGCATAATGTACCTTCTTTCACTCTTTTACTTACAATACATGGGCCTTTATATTTAAAGTACGTTTCTGACAAACAGTATATAGTTTGGTCTTGCATTTCTGAACCAAGCTAACAATTTCTGCATCTTAAAATCGTAGCTTTGACTTAAAAGCAGATTAGATATAGATAAGAAAATTTAAGCTGCTACAGCTTCAGTTTCTTGGGACGCTCAGGCAGGAGTATGGTATGAGCCCAGAAGTTTGAGGCCATAATAGTGCTCTACGATTGTACCTGTGAATAGCCTACATACTCCAGCCTAGGTAATGCAAGGAAGCCCGTGCCTTTGAAAAAATAAAAGAAAGAAACTTACTACAAGTAAGTTTTAGTCAAAAATTGTATAGGTAACAACATAAGCACACAAACAAATTGAAAGTAAAAAGAGGAGAAAACATGACACAAATATGAAGCCAAAAAAAAATTGGCCACATTACAAACTAGAAAACAGACCTGAAGAAATGAGTGAAATGAATTACAAGGAGACAGAATTGTAAATGTGAAACTGGGGTTAAAAAATGAAAACCAGATTAACATCTACTCATAGGAATTTAGGGACAGAGTACATATAACATGGGAAGGGCAAAATTTGGAAAGAAAATGGCTAAGTTTCCAGAACTGATAAAAGACATGATTCCTTTGATTCACTAAGCATAATGAATCCCAAACAGGATAAATAATATGCTAGACACAGAGTTTCACATTTTAGTGAAACTGCAGTACACCAAAGACAAAGCATCTTAAAAGCATCCAGCAAAAAACCCCCACAAATCACCTACTAACAAGACAGAGTAGACCTTTTTTGTTAAATACAAACAAAACATACCAGACAATATAAAACAGTATCTTCAAAATGCTGAGTGATAACAGCTATCAACCTGTAATTCTAGACTGAACTAAATTTTAAAGTGAAATAAAATAAAAATATTTTCAGACAAAGTCTAGAGTATTTACGATTAAGGAACCACTGCTGAAAGGACAAACCAAAGGCTCACACTACGGCGCATTTGGATATTTCAGGGGCATTTTTGCTTTTTACAATGACGAGGGAGTTTTACTAGCATGTAGCATGCACATCTACTAGCATGTACATGAAAGCTTTTAGAAAAGGTTAATTTTCTATAATGAGCAAGACGGTCCTATACAACGAAAAACGGTCCAATCCAAATGCTGTTAGTGGTCTACTGAGAAACACAGAAGAAGAAAGACACAAGATGGGATAGTAAACAAAAATTGTATGCCCTGTGGGTTGACTTTTAATAAACAAAAATAAAAACGACAATTTATGGGTATAAACATAAAACAGAAGTAAAACATTATAAAAGGCATGATTAGAATTAAAGCTTCCCAAAGTCTGTCACAGTAGAACTACAAGTAAGTTTTAGTCAAAAATTGTATCAGTAACAACATAAGCACACAGACAAATTGAAAGTAAAAAGAGGAGAAAACATGACACAAATATGAAGCCAAAAAAAAATTGGCCACATTAATATCAGACAATATAGATTCTAGAGCAAAGCCATTATTATAAATGAAGATGATCATTACATAATAACAAGTACAAAACTATGTGTACCTAATAACACAATTTCAAAAGACATACTAATAAAAAAGCTCATGCTATGAGGAGAAACTGTAGAACCCACTGCCATATTTGGATAGCTTTAAAAACAATTGGCTTTTAACAATGGATCAAGAAGACAGATCAAGAAGTTAACAGATTAAAGTATAAAGAAGTACATAAGTAACAAGCTTGCGTTAACAGACACATAGCAAATTTTCCAGTCAACAAATACAGAACACATACTTTCTTCAAGTACATTTATAAAAACTGACCCTTTAGAAGAGTCGAATATCAAAAGAAAACCTATTATACAAAAATGTGTTCTCTGACACTATAATTCTACAATTAAGCTGTAAAATGATAAAAAGAGAACTAAGATATCCCCAATACTTTAGGATATTAAAAAAAAAATCTTGCTTTAAAAATAGGTCCAGTGAAAACAATAAAAACATTATCTCGATTAACATGTCTTACCGATATAATACGATCTCCTTTTCTGAGCTCTCCACTTAGATCAGCAGGTCCTCCAGCTAAGATAAAGGAAATAAATATTCCTTCTCCATCTTCTCCTCCTACAATGTTGAAACCTAGGCCTGTTGAGCCACGATGAAGAACAACTTTTCTAGGTTCCCTAAAAATTAAAAAAATATTCAGTATCTTGGAAATTTTATAAAAACCTGATATTCTTTCAGTGAGAACTACCTATTGATAATTTTTATATTATCAAACTACTAAGAAAGCTAGACAAAATATAAATGATTTTTTTCTAAAACTATGGGATAAAGAGATTCAAAGCCCATGAATTGAAGGAAAAAATTTAACTTTATATAAAAGCAAAATACCTGTGTTATATAAAACAGAAATGAAAAAAAGTCACCCTTATAAAAA